GTGTGTGTGTGTGTGTGTGTGTGTGTGTGTGTGTGTGATAAAGAGGAATGCGAGGTAGAGGATGAGGGAAACAAATCAGCATAATTAGTGACGAGAATTGACAAATCATACTTTTGGAATAACGATTGGGGATCTCGGCTTTCGAGGATTTGCGCCATACGCCGGCATGTGTTGCGCGGATCATCGTCTTTTCCCTCACACAGCCCAGGGGTCGGATCGGACGGGTGTGGCGGGACAATTTGTGACTGGGAGCAGGTGTGTGAGGTAAGCGATTGGGCGATAGTGCCCAGGAAATTGCGGTCTGTTTGAGTAGCAATAAGTCTGTCGGTTGAGCCCAAAACTGGGAGAAAAAGGCACCGATTTGATTGTCCCTTCTGGTTGACGCATGCAGGCCAACCGGAGGAGCACATCTTCGCAAAAGTGATCGCTTGACCGGCCGAGCGAAGGACAGCTCATTTCCTCTCCGTCGATGCGACTGTACCTCCCCTGCAAATGCATACTCCATCACCCCAACCATATTCGGCCCTCGAAGAGGTCGGGGAGGATGCCGTTTTGCCGTACTCTCAGACTGCCACAAAAGCTCACCTAGCACGCTATCCCCATCGCAACGGTATCGGCATTGTTGCATCTGTCAAGGCAACTCTTGCGCCCCTACCAGCTGGCCAGACCCAAGAGGATACCATCCAGGCCGAGCGGATGAGAGACAAAGTGGAGGGGGGGGGAGAGGGGCTGAGGGGGTCTAAGATGATGGGAAGGATGGCAACGGAGAACAGGGTGTCCGGATGGGTTTTTGGGGCCGGGAGGAGGGGTGAACTCGAGGGCGGAATGAAGACGAAACTCGCACTGAGGCAGGCCTTAATTGGAGAGGAAGATGGGCGATAGAACAACCGTCAAAGCAGCCAAGAAGTCTTGATCACTGAGGCGATCTAAATTCTTTTTCCCATGCAATCTCTCTCTTAATCGCGACCTCTCCACCGAAAATCCTCTCCCCTTCTGGTACACAAAAGCAAATGGCTTCATTGCAAAGGACCCAAAACGAGAATTGCCTTAAAGGAAACAACTTTAGCCA